CCCCCCGCCCCCCCATTCTGCTCCCCTTCTCCCTCCCCCTCCCCCCTCCTTCTCATTCCCCTGGGATATAAGGGTTTGCGACAGTTTCTTGAACTCTCTGTGAAAATGGCTCCTGATGATGAAGTGGTCATCAAGGATTATCTCGAGTTATGCAGAGACTGGAACAGACCAGACCAGTTTTCTGTCCTCTTTTCAGACGAACTTTAAACCCTAGACCATTCACTAATGCTTCTCCACAATGTGATTTATAAACTTTTATAGGTGTGAAAAGAGCCTATCAATGATGAAGGCATTCACACCATTCACTCTTTTCAGACGAACTTTAAACCCGAAACTGTTCACATGTTCACAAATGACTCTCGTTCAAGCTTTTAGAAGTATAGGTGTGAATGGTTGTCGCTACTCTCTAGACCAATGGTTGTCGCTACTCTCTAGCCCATGCGATTTTTTATGGGAATTCCTTCGCTTATGATTATCATCATAAGTTAAGAAACAACAATGGACCGACGGGCCTAGCTCAGTTGGTACGCCCACCCATGAACTGTTGAAAGACAGACCTAAAGTTTGAATCCAGATGGAGTCAGAAGAGCAACATAAAATAATTCTGAATTACCTGGGGCCAGTCATTGTGATGATGATATCTGAAGGCCGTCGCCCTCTCAACAAGAAGATAGAAAGAATGAAAGAGTGACAACAGCGATGAGGTGGGAAATTAATAATAATATTCTAATGCAATTTCGTATGTGTAACTCGATATGTATTATAATTCCACATGTTATCACTCCAGATGGGACGAAATGCATATCACAGATCACCAGTTGGAAACCCTGATGGAATAAGATATGCGGCGGATCATATGCCACTCTTAGTACACAGATGACATCAGGGTTTTGAAACCTTGATGGAATGAGGTGTAATGTCACTGTTAGTCGGACAGATCACCAGTCCGAAACCCTGACGGAATCTGATAAGTTAACTTTGAGTGGGCATGGAACATGACGAAGCAGGGAGGATGTTGCTATTCTACGTGCTACTGTA